TGCTTACTGGCACAAGCCAAAAGAGTCAAACTCTAAGTCTCCATGATATACTGCTGCCAGTTCTGAGTTAAACTTTAACCCTTTCCTATACCAACTGTATGTGTGTGTGTGTGTGTGTGTGTGTATGTGTATGTTAGACCGGCTTAATGTGTTTATGTAGTATGTTTGACTAGTTTAAGTGTTTATGTAGTTAATAAAACCTTACTTGTATCACACTTGACGTTGTTCATTGTTTGCTCATAACCGGAGTCACTAATCATGCAGATTTACGTTACAAGCTTGTAGAATTGTACAGTAAGAAAGTTATTTCCCTTAACCAGGAAATTAACGTTCTTGGAATTGACAAGACAGTTGACCCTGAGAGGTCAGCTAAATATCTACAGCGGATCTAAAATATGAATAGTTAATTATAACTAGTTATGGTTAATTATTCATATTTCCCCATGAGCTGGTTCGCTACACACTAAACCTCTTAAATTAAGAAAACTCTTTATTTATCTAAGTGGTTTTGTGCATCTGGATCCTGGTGTTCAGATATGGCTCAGTTCCTTCACCACAAGTCTTTCTTTTCTTTTTCTTTTTTATCTACTAGGCATCCAAAAGTCATCTTAGAAGTATTTTTTTTTTTTATAAGAACCCAACTCAGAAAGGTGTTATACTGTAGAAAATAACTAGTTGTCTTTGCATTCACACTGTCCCTGACCTTCCCAATCACTCTGTTGTTTTGAATAAAAGAGAAAGATGTTATACGCAATTTGTGCTTGACGATGACTACACAATTTAGCTATAGCTTCACTGTATAATGTCAAATAAAATGTAACCTGGAGCGATATATGTTTCCAATGCACAATACAGTATACCAGTAAGAAAACCACACTCAGAAACACCTCCTCCGTTAATTCGGAACATTTAACAAATCGTAGGCAACATTCTTGCAAACTACTCTGAGACCCCTGAAAGAAAGTGTGAGAACATCACGTGTGCGCTGAAATGCGCTCCTGCTGTAATAGTGAGCCTACTGAACATCTGAACAAACAGCCAAACAGATGGATGCCTGTTCTTTGAGATACAATCAAACGTTACTTCAACAAGCAAACTGTTTAAGACGTGCCCACATTTGATGCTTACAAAACATTAATAAAACGAAAAGTGGCGGTGAAGAAAACTAGTATTTATTATAAGACTGTTGTCCATAAGTCCTGCTAGTCAGACAGTGAAGGAACGTCAGTAACTGGAAACTCATGGCTAACATCCTACATGAGTAATCAAGAGACAAAAACACAAAAAGTGTGCACAAACCAGCGTGATGGTATTTACAGGCTGAACACCAATATCCACATCTAGGGTGGCAGTCTGGGATATCTTAAATTAAGTTCACTCTTCCCATCTTAACACTGCTTCTTCATATCAAACAGACAGTTCTGAAGCGCCGTAGTGTGTGTGTGGTGTGTTTATGTACTTCCAGCTACTGAAAACACATGAATGAATTCAGAAATAGAACAAACGCCCATCTGGACTGAAAAGGAAATCAGGAAGTGAGGGACAAACCAGTTCCCTCTGGTTTATCCTGCGGATTTTAACATTACCTCCGGCTCACTCTAAGGTTAGGGGTTAAACACACACAAACACACAATCTTCCCTCGGCTCCCGCAATGGTGAGTCATCACTCCATTCACGTCACTGACAGACAACAGCTTCCAGTGACAAACCAGTGCACAGCAGCCCCACTCGCCCTAACGCTACTCTTCCTCATCAACTCCTTCCTCTCAGAGAGTGGTGAAGCCTGCGTCTAAATTTAGTGACTCTGGCCCTTTTTCTGAAAGGGAATGGCTTCTTTGTCCCAGAGAGACCTTGGCATATGTCAACAGGAAGCACATTAAAAATGGCATAATATGGCTGCTTCAGCTTATCAATGACACTTTGCTTCTTTTTATATATACAAAAAAAACAAAAACACGTTTAGTTCTATAAAGCAAAAAGACACAAAAGCTTGTGCATTACAGTGACAACATTTAGTGATTCACTCAGCTCAGATGATGATAAAAGATACAATTTTTTAATATTTTTCACACCTTTCTGTGCCATTACACTGAATGAGAACACGAATAGGAAGCAATTTCCTTATTCAGGAACAAGATCAATCTGATTCATTGATGAATCATTCCGACTGGTTCAATCAACTCAAAAAATTAAAAATAAATAAGACACACATCTGGCTCATAAGAATATTTTGTTAATGAACTGGACATAGGCGATGCCTCAGTACCAATTCACTGTAATTGCTTGGAAAAAAAGTGACCAGTACATTATTCTTACGTTCAACAAAAGAAAATTTTTGCAACCACGTGAGGGTGAGTAAATGATGACAGGACTATTCCTGTTGCCGCCATGGAATCATAAATTCATGCATTTTATAGATTCTTAATGTGAGAGATTCTTCCAAGTATAGATTTTTTTCATCAAAATGTCATAACTCGATGTTCCAGTGAAAAATACAGGTGTCTCACTGGTGATGTATGACAGCCTTCTCCAATAATTTAGTCTGCTAAAACCCCAACCTCCAAAATTGACTGCAAACTCACATTCATTTTTGGTGCACTGCACTTACACCCTCCATAGTTTTCCCAAATCCTGTGGTGAGTAGTGTGGCACGTCTGCTTTAATCTTAATGCAGCATTTGGATGGATGATCACCTGAGTGTCGCTCATTGATAAGAGACAAGCTAACAAAGTGCTAGTCATAAATGCAAAAGAAAAAAATGATGCCCTTAAGTTTTCAGAACAAATTGGCTACTATTTCCATTTGGGTTTTCAGTTAAATGCTAAAGCATCAATCTCATTTCAATGCCGTTCGACTGCTTACTTTCACAAGTTCAAATCCTTGCCAAGCTAATCAGGCCAGCTAGGAGCAGAACAATCAGGCTTACCGCATACAATGAGCTGGATGCTACTGTTTTTCTAATCAATAGCTTCCCAAGGCACAGTAATCTTTCAATTACAGTCACACTCCACTTTTTCCTATTGCAGCAACTGCCAATCAGGGAGGTTGGCAGTTCGTAGCGTGTTCGCACCGTCCCACACAATGGCTGCAGACAAAAAGCGCACTTCGCAAGCTGAGAGGGGGTGTAAGGCATCTCATTGCAACCCTGCCGAGACCCACCAAACACTAGCTGACTGTTGTGACTGAGCTTCCAACACATATGGCAATTAGACCCAACACTGGGTGGCTCTCTTAGTGAATGAGGATGTGTTGATTCAGACTGGGGGATCTGCTAGGAGTCATGATGTAGTCGTGTGGAAAGTGAATTCAGTGGAATGATTCTACTGTTGTTCAATAAAATATAAATATTTTTAAAGAACATAGTGTTTCAGGACCTCGACCCAACCAGGAATGCTGCAACAAGTTTCCTGCATAAAAGTACTTTGTCTGCCCTCAATGAAAGCATAATGTTGAGATTTGACTGTGTCAAAGGGCGAACAGGACAATGCAGCGCGCACACACACACACACACACACACACACACACACACACACACAAAGAAAACCCTTGAAAATTTGATTTATTGCTTGATTCTATCCCGCAAACAAGTTTCCTGCATAAAAGTACTTTGTCTGCCCTCAATGAAAGCATAATGTTGAGATTTGACTGTGTCAAAGGGCGAACAGGACAATGCAGCGCGCACACACACACACACACACACACACACACACACACACACACACACACACACACACACACACACACACACACACACACACACACACACACACAAAGAAAACCCTTGAAAATTTGATTTATTGCTTGATTCTTTTTTTATATCACGCCAACAACAATAGAAACCAAAAGAAATCAAAACATGACTCCTGGCTAATTACAACAAAAAAAATTCAAGACAATACTGCACTTTGTTATTAGTTAGTGGCTAACGAATTGTTATTCTCACACATTTGACAGAAAATAGCTTAATTCCGCATTGCAAAACAAGGTCGATAGAGCAGTGTTTCATGTTAGATTCACTGGTTGCACTCCGTGTCATTGTGCTTGTGAATAAAATTAAACTCAACCTTGTTGCATTGGTCTCGGTCACTCATGTTGCCTCAAATAAACAACTCTTACTGAAAATTAAGGACTTCTAGATGTTTGGATGCTCCAAATCACTCTCAGTGTCATAAACTGGGACCTAATAAAGTCTTTTTATAAGGGCATACCCGTTTTTACTTTACTAAAAATAGAAAATTCTAGTTGTATTCCATGAAAATCTAAACACTAGATTAAAGAGAAAAATTACAGGATAGCTTACATTTTAGAGAAGGCATTTAGGGACAGTGGGTGTTATGAAAAGAAAAAAATGTTACCCTCAAGTATCTGGGAACAAGGAGACTCAAGCCTGTGTTATACTTTGCGCATGAGCAATCAGGATGTGTACACGGACAGCGCGGACTACTTGTATTTATACTTCCGAAAGCATACGCTGATGGTCCGCTCTGCGGAAGTGTCCCATACATGCGTAGTAGATCGGCTTGAACAATAAACAAACATGTGAACAAAGAATTGCCCAGAGTTATTGCACATCTGGCTGTCTTTATATTGTTTTATCGATGGAGTGTACAAGTTTGAGTAGCAACGGGCTTCTTCACACAGCCTGCGCATGCGCAGTAGTCTACTGACCGCACGTACTTGTACGCGCAGTCACAAAAAATGGGAGGCACGCGGATGTCCGCGCACACTCTCCGATGACGATTTTTATGTCACGCAATACCATAGCGGACCCTAGCAGACTCACGGATGCGGAAAGTATAACACAGGCTTCAAATCTCTCTAATCAATAAGAAGAATTTACAGGTATTAATCAGCACTTTAACTCCAGTCAATTACGCGGTAAGTCTCAGACTGGTAATTACAATCATCTGAACTTGGCAAAATAAAATGCCACTTGTTCATAGACTAATGTAATTATAGGTTAAATTACACAGAAAACCTTCTTAAGAGGAAAAACGTACCTGTGATACACTGAAACTGACCATCATCTCGCTGGATCGTGAAGGCCTCTCCTGGGTTTACCTGCACCAAGATTACCTGAAGAAAGCAAGAAAGATGTTGTTAGAAGAAAACTAGCCTATTCAGACCACCTCAAAACTCTTAGCTCAACACATTCCCTTATTTCATAAAAAAATGCATAAACTGTTTGGATGAAAGGTAACACTGCAATGAATAAAGATCAACTGTAGTGATTTGAATGAACCAACCTGTGAGGGCTCCATGAATAAAATGTAACAGGACTAAACTTCCTTCTGCCCTTATCTTGACCTCATCTAACGTCAGCACAGTGCTCCACGTGGCTCAGTTTTATTCCAGGCTAATTTATCTAGTGTAAAAGCGGTCATCATTCAGCCAGGCACAAACATGCTTCTATGACCCTCATTTTCTCATGGCTATACATAACTGACACACAAATAGACAAAAACACATCCCCTTCTGAGGGCAGCAGAAAATGGAAACATTGTTTACTGCTATGACGAAAATACTCTGATTCCAAAGAAAAAAAGAAAGGGAAAAACAGGAATATACACATACATACCAGCCATGGGGTGGCGACAATGTGCTGCAAATTCAAAATTTTCCCTTTTTTTGTTGTTTTTTTATTTTTTTTAAAACAAGAACAAAAACGGATGTTTGTGTTTCCTTTGAGATCTGAGAATCAATAGAAATGTCATCAAAATGGATTTGTTATTGCCTTTGTGGCACTCTAAACTCCTCCAGTTTTCTGATCAATGACTGCGGCTCAGGGGAATCACGTGTGAATCTGACACAGCTGAATCGTTAAACAGCACGACCAATTTCCATCATAGTTTTAGCAATATCATCCACTCATAAAAGGTGCAAAAGAAAAGTGAAGATTTAAATAACACACAAAAACGAATTCACTACCTTTTGAACTCTCCCGTAACATTGCAGAATATCATTGACAATAAAATGATAAAAACAGAAATAGCAATTTTGCACTTAAGCAAAAATTATTAACATTAAACCAACTTCGAACACCTTAAAGTGAGTTTATATACACACAGCGTATTTATTGCTTGTTGTCGCTAGTCTTTGTACTGTGAGCATCACTCATTACCAGTGCTGACGCTGTAATGTTATTGGTAGACTGCACGTCTGGACATATCTTTAGATAATGAAATCACAGATGATATAAATTACTGGTAAAAGACATTGACCTAATAGGAATTCGTTTTCATTTTAGTTTTTAGAATTTTTGTTTTCATTTTGTTGTCACTACTGCTCAGTCCATTAACCACATGATCTACCAATCTACAAAAATAAACACACATACTGCCAAAAATGTCTAAAACCTCAATTAGAGTTTGATAGTCTTCTTGTCCCTCATATTGAACATGCAGGTTTTAATATAAAAGCAGCAGTGCTAAACTGCTCATTGCATCATATCTAGGGCTGTAGCTATCGATTATTTTAGTAAATCGAGTAGTCTACCAATTATTCCATCGATTAATTGAGTAATTGGATAAGAAGTCATTTTTCTTTATTAAAGAGCAATACTAGATATACAAGAGAAAATAAGATAGGTCTCTTAAAATAAACAACAACTAATTTGTTTCCTTTTTAGAAAAATACATATTTTTACTGCTGAAATTGCATACATTAATTACCGTTAAAACTAAACACATTTAATGCATTTAATTGCCAAGTTACAGTCAAAATGCAAATACAAATATATCAATAAAAAATAAAATAAAAATATAAATAAAAAATATTTTAAAAAAATACAAAAATCTATTTCACATTACTTTAAACAAGGTAAAAAGGTACAAACTAAAACTAAGAAATAAATAAAAACAATAATACCTAAACATTGCATTTATGTCTTGCAACTTAACTTTCAAGTTTCAGCCTAACTAAAGCTCAAGCATGACGTGAGCCTTTACGGTCTTCTTGGAAGGCTGTGTGGCTTTTGTGAGGCAAAAATCAGTGGACAGGAAGGTAACTTGGTACAAGAACAAGAGTCCATTCACAATTTCTAAACACCTTTTTCTGCAACATGAAATTAGAGTTATTTGGAGAATAAACCCTCTTAAATGTCTCTCTACGTACTGGTGTGTGTGTGTGTAAAACTTGTTTTTGATATCCCTCATATTCTGTGTACTGGTCAGTTCACAGCACTGATAGAAATTAATCTGTTCCAATAAGTTTAAATTTATTTTTACATTTTATGGGCATTTTTACCTTTATAAAGCCTTTTTTTTTTAAAGTGTGCATCATCTTTTGAGTCAAATTCTTACATTTAATCAGTCAATTAGAAGAAGACATTTGGGCTGTTACCAAACAAATGATATCAGTATCAAAATTCATCTTTACAATGCAGAGGAAAGCTTCATCTCAAGAGGCATTTAGATATGCCTATTTACACCATTTAATTCAGCTCAGAGGGACATGCAGTTACAAATGCATAAATAATATTTTGTTATTTTAAACATGAAACATTGAAAACTGATATTTACAATTATTTAAAAAATGAAAAGATACTTTAAATGTGGAATTAAAACCGCCAGCAGGTCGCAGCAAGTCACTGTTAATAAGTGAGTCATTGTGACTGGACCAAATCATTTAAAGGGGTCATATGACGTTGCTAAAAAGAACATTATGTTGTGTATTTGATGTAATGCAATGTGTTTATGCGGTTTAAGGTTAAAAAACACATTATTTTCCACAATGCACATTATTGTTGCTTCTCTATGCCCTGCCTTTCTGAAACGCGTCGATTTTTTACAAAGCTCAACGGTCTGAAAAGCGAGGTGTACGCTGATTGGCCAGCTATCCAGTGCATTGTGATTGGCTGAATACCTCAAGTGTGTGAGGGAAATGTTACAACCCTTAACATAGTGTGATGCCCTGTGTCCCGGCACGACAAGACAAAAACAATAAAATCCCTTACAAACGAGGCATTTGTTGCATCCAGTGGGGACATAATTACTGATTATAATGACTTATACTGATGATTATAAATGTCTTTTTACGCGTTGCGTATCGCGCTGCGTAAACATAAAACCATGTCTGCATTTGTGATCGGAGAAACAACAAAAAACAAGCGCTACTCTACACTGCTCAAAACTCGCGTTTGAATCGTCAGTGGCAAATTCTTTAAATATAAAAAAACGTACTTACAGGTTGTGAGTCAGAAGCGTCAGACTGTCCTTGCAAAGTTGGAACTGCCCACTTTACAGAAACAGGCATTGTAGGCTACTCTCACAGGAAACAGTCCTCATCCTCCGCAAAATGCGCTGCACACATTTGAATATTTTGGTTGAACTGTTCTGGAACAGTGTTGTAAATACAGCTTAAACACTGATTTCTAGTTGTGTCCTTTTTTGGAAGGCCAAACAAAGTAGTTTCGCTTTCACAACGAAACACACAGCGTCACACACGGCGAGCTAGAGTGAGTGGCGGCCGGCAGATTCGACGAAGGAGCAGTCGGCAGGCTTGTGGCAACCACATGTGATGACCCTGTACTGGACTCCGCTTCATCTACGGTGAAACCCGATCCAGCGATCCACAGCGCAAAGTTGATGTATTTCAAAGGTCAAACAAAGTAGTTTTGCTTTCACAACGAAACACACAGTGTCTCCACGACATGGTGGCGGCAGCAACAATACTCAGCGAAAATTACGCCTTCTTTCTTTGCGTGAACATTTGGGGGCTTGTTAGAACGAGCCGTTTTAGGTAGGCATGGTTGACTCTTAACTTTTATAAAGAATATCTCTTTGGATTTGAGACTTTAGTCTTTGCAACTTTACAGATCTTCTTTATGCACAAAGAGCTTATAACACTCCAAAGAAAAAGGAAAAATTTTAATTGCATCATATGACCCCTTTAAACAGTTGATGGAACAAAACGCCCTCATGTTGCTCAGAGACGCAAAACACCGCTGTGGCTGTGTTTGGAATTATTTTTTTGTTGGCGAAATAGAGCACTATAGGCAATGGTGTCTAAAACGTAAGTATCTTACTATTAACTTCTTGTTTATTGAACTGTTGCATTGAATTGATAAAATCATTATCACATTTGTAATCATGCTGATTTTAAGAGGTGAAAACTGGCACTCTTCGTGTGATATTGACTAACTTTTTTTTTTTGGTATTTTTATGCATAACTGTATGGGGAGTGTGTCTGTGTGTCACAGAGAAAGAATGAGACAATCAACATGAATGGCACTTAGTCTTTCATAAAACATAGCTAACTTAGGGACATCATAACTAGCGTTTATCGGGTTGTGCATCAGTAATAATGGTTCGTGGGGAAACACAGTGTTCCGTGTGTAGTTACAGTAAATGGACTAAACGAAGCCGACTGATTTTTTGTATTCGAGTTACTCGAGGAATCGTTTCAGCCCTAATCATATCATTAACCAGACAAAATCAGTGTTCGAATTAAATTCACTAAGACTGCCAACCATTAGTTTTATGCATCTCGTATTATATCCATGTTTATAGATACAGACAAATGACAAATTATTCGCTCTTTACTTAAATCTTTCTCAAATTTGCTGGACACGCCCACACATGGTCGCTCGTGATGCCGGAAGTTGCCAGCTCTCATTAAAAATTAAAATAATCAATGATATTAGTTTTGTTGGAAGTTGCTACATGTGTGGACTGGCTATAAAAGCACCCTGGCAAAAACTTTTATAGGCAAGGACCACTCACATTCTCTTCAAAAATATACCAATTTAGTCAATAATGCTTTAGCTGTTTTCATCCCATCACAGTATATACACTAAGTTCCAAATACAAAACTCGCGTTTGAATCGTCAGTGGCAAATTCTTTAAATATAAAAAAACGTACTTACAGGTTGTGAGTCAGAAGCGTCAGACTGTCCTTGCAAAGTTGGAACTGCCCACTTTACAGAAACAGGCATTGTAGGCTACTCTCACAGGAAACAGTCCTCATCCTCCGCAAAATGCGCTGCACACATTTGAATATTTTGGTTGAACTGTTCTGGAACAGTGTTGTAAATACAGCTTAAACACTGATTTCTAGTTGTGTCCTTTTTTGGAAGG